CCCGGAGCAGCTACCGGCTTGTATTTCAGTGCTTGATCTATAATCAAAAGGAGTGTGATATTGAATAAATGCAAATAGAGTAGTTAGCAGTCGCTGAGGTCGGGTTGTCTGCAAGTCACTTTAATTAGTAGTTTAATTTATCAACGTTCTGATTGCTGTTTTCGCTGTAGAAGGTCTTTCGTTCAAATGTTTGCTGCCTTGAAATGAGGAACGGGCAGTTTTTACACTCCGAGAGGCATGTGTATGCCGCTGATGCACTGGCATCGCCGGCTCCTTCACGCCTACAGTCTTCCTCATTTCTCTCATTCCTTTTATGATATTATGTTACCGTTATATCTGTTTTGTTATCGATAAAATTTGGGTGGAATTATATGAAGAGCATCCAGTTTTGCGAGAAAACCCATTCAAATCATCTTGAGAACTGAGTGCCCTCAAACTGTGAATAGTTACTAAATTTTAAAGTTATATTCAAATAGCACCAAAAGCGATGGAGTAGCACCAAAAGCGGTGATAAATAACCAATTATTGTTAAGGCGTCGGGTCGATTCTTTCGCAGGCATTTCAACCAGTGTTTGCAGAAGTTCGGCCTTCCTTTCAGTGTTTTGGTATAAACTGAAGGCAAGTTCACTTCGGAGCAAAAATTTTGAGTGACGGCTATCGTATCAGTGAGATTCAGAACAACGTGCCACCAGCCTTCAAAACAGTTCGCAAACACTTTCTATTTACAATTTCAATACTTCAACAAAGACAACTTCCGAAAGGCATTATGAGGAAACTCACCACTAGGAACAAACATAATTTCCCCAGGATATTGTACAGCTTCTATGGGTGTCCACTCTTTTGACCAATTGCAGGAACTAGTCCTTTTATAAACAGTCTTAAACCAGATCACTGCTTCATCAACATGTACGCCACCCTCTTCACTTGTTGGTTTCACGACGCATTTGGGTGTTTCCGGATGGAAAAAACACCATCTAGAAAAGAGGTACACTTCCTTGACCCGTTAACATGACACTGGCCCCAGCGGACAGACTCATTTTTTTGTCGAAACAGTTATAAAATTACAGACTAACTTTTTGCGGCCCTTCAGAAGAGCATTCCAGGCACTTGTTCCCAGAGGATCGACATGAATCCCAGTTCCAGATCGAGCCGGTCCCATCACGAACCACCGGTGTGGTGGACGTCGCTCTTCACTTGCATAACGAAATAAATCGTCGACAAAGAAGCTTGGTACACGATAGTCATCCACCAAACGTCTTGTTTTATGACGCTTAAATAAAGAACTTTAGCATTTTTCTACAGATGCAGCAGTAAGTAAAGCCTGATATGAGAAACGGAACCTCGCCAAATGCGCTATCGAAGACGTAGAGTGGACTGTCGTCGGTGGTGCTTTGCATGTACTGCGCGTAGTATTTCAGTTTCAGTTTTACGGAGCGACCATCATCATCTTCGCCGCATTTAAATTTCTGATTTCGATACTTCTTCACCAGCTTCTGTATCAAACAGCATTTATCAGCAGCTGGCCATAAAAAAAATTCGAGTATACTCAACGTGGTTGCACAGCACAGATCTGATGCTCTCACACAACTGCTTAAAATGGTTGTGTGTCAGAACACCTGCATTTGCCCTTCCTCCCTCACTCGTCCCCTGTTCCGGAACATCCCTACTTTTCCCTAAGAGAACGTTTACCATTCCACTGCAACATGATACATTCGAAATTTAATAACGTAAATTTTATCTGTAATAAAAAAAAAATGAAATGGTATTAGATTTTTACTTACATGTAGGCACCATTTTCGAGTAGCTGGCCACGATTCCGTTAAACCAGTAAGCACCACCGGTATACCCCGTTTTTCATACTTCTCGACGAATTCGTCAACGCTGAGATGCGATGCATCTATTCGCTCAATATTGTCTGCAGTCAATCCACGGCATAATTCAGAAAATGTTTTGTGGAAGCCTGCAGAGCTCCAACTGTCCTTCGGCAATTCTAAACGACCATAAACAGAACTAACCTTGAACGGAAAGCACAACAATTCTGCCAAGCATCTTTCCTGTTGACCAAAAGTACAACACACTACCTCACATGCACAGAAAATATCCCTGCGAAGTCTCAGCTCCCTGTCTTGTTTTGCTCCCGAGATCACTTTGTCGCCAAAAAATTTGCACTTTTTTTTGAAGCGTCCGTACGTGGGACTCAGGCGTACGCAGATGACAATATTAAAACGGGAGGGTCGTACAGGTGGTGGGCACATACTCCCGAAGTTTCAACCTTCTAGCACTTTTGGTTCTCGAGTTGGAAGTGGGTAGCAAAAAGCGCTAACGTACACGCATACACACACACAGCCTCTTGGCAATATGCGTTTTTGCATTTGCCCATATGTAAAAACGCATAAAAAAGGAAAAAAAAATGTTGTGTTTCGAACAACCAAACTGAAAATGCATCAAGCCCAGAAACATGGAGGTGGGAGAAGTGAGAATTTTATCGATTTTTCTTCCTAAAACATCCTCCTGCCTGCTGTGCCTCCGGACTGCTGGTGTTGTGGTACTTGCAAAACTTCAACACATTCTATGCATTTAACACGCTGGCCGAAAAAATGAACGAACTCTAAGTGTCTAAGAAGAATAAATAAACAAACCAGAACGCGCTCTCTTCTTAGCTTCAAGTATTCGCTTCCGTAATCGACCACGTTTATTAGTTGGCAACATGCTAACTTCGTTGCTCCATGCAAAATGCTTCCTCAATCATAAATGCAAAATCTGGGACCGCTCCACGAACGCATACACTAATTAGTCTTCCAGTACCATCGGAGATAGTCCAGCGAAAATAACAACAGACCTCCAAAAGGAAGGAACACACAGTGCCAATTGAAGAGGCAACAAAGATGAAGAGGACGTACGCACACAGCGGACAATATGGGTGCCGTGATCCAGAATGGATGGACGGTGGATGTGTGTGAGTGCCGATACGGATCGGTGTGGCTGTCGTCGCTAGGTTTCTTGAAATATCGGACATATGCGCAGCGCTGAGATTTCGGGCGTGCCGTATGAAATCAGCTTGTGTTTGGGCGTAAGGTCATCGAATTAGTAGAGGTGGGTCGAGAAGCAGGTTTCAAATTATTCACTTTGCATTCTGGGACCGAAATACCACCAGGTCGGTGGTTCACATGTCCTGAACCGACGTATAAGGCGATAAAATAAATGAGGTTGCATCGGTGCTTCTTGCAGAAGTGCCATAAAAGAATTAAATTCGCCTTTCATCCAACAAAGACTGCACCAGTCTATTCCAAGGAAGAACAGCACAAAGCAGCAGCATTACCAAGACTTCTTGCCCTGAAAAAAAAAAGATTATCTTTTTCGATTTTGACATCGACTCTCTCCAGCCGCAACAAACTTTATGGGTCCACAAAAATGCTATATATGTTTGTCAGGTGTAATTGTATTTCTACTGACCTGCATGATAAAAGATAACTGCTTTTTTGTTTAATTTGGTACTGCTCAGTCACAAAAGTACAATTACTGATTGAAGAAACAACCGAAAAAAATCATCAAAAGAGAATTTTTATTTCAACAGATGGAGGGAAAGACGCTCTTTCACAGGCCACGAATAAAATTTCCTCTTTAATTAGGGAAGGACTGTGCCCAACTCTTCAATACTACTGAAAGTAATGACTTTTGAATGTGAAACACTGTCACTATGGTGAACAGAATAGCAAATGCCAGCTGCATTTGAGTGAAAAAGAACTGGAGTATCTCCTCGCCACTCTACAAAGCAATCAGGTTTTCCATCAGCAGAGCAACTTGCCGAATGTGGCTGCGATCACATGAGGAAGCAAAGTGTTGGGCAGTGCTTGCTTAGAGAAGGGCACATTGCTCGCTTTGCTGGGCATTGCGTATTATCGAGGAGTACTGTTGAGGAAGTGAACAGACATTCGGGAACAGCCCGAGCGATGGGGTCTAGATTTACAGCTTGGGAGACTGAACTAGACGTTCTCAACCAGGTTAAGCCTCGGTGACAGTTGCAGCAAGCCAACTGTGGCGGTGTGACAGGCACGTCTGTCACCAGATATGTGTCTCAGATATGGGCAGTCCAGGTTGAAAACTGGGGCTGAAGTGTAATTTTTGTTAAATCACGAAAGTTTTGAAAGAGGTGAGGTGGTGCTGGAATGTGAGTGGGGACGGAGTGGTGATGGGGGAGTTGGGGATTTGGAATGGGAGTTGTAGGCTTGGGATGGAGGTTGGGGGTTTGGGAGTTTGGAGTCAGGGTTGGGGTTGCGGATTTGAGGACAGGGATGGGGAGGCTAGGGGCGGGAGTTTGCGGAAACTTAGGGAGAGGGAGGGTTCCTAGCTGCTCTGGTCCCTGTAGTGCCAAAAATTTCACGTATTCCTGCGTGAGGTCTAGGCATGTGCGGTAGAGGGGGCTGAAATGGAGTCTACGGGGTTACACGCAGGCAAGGAACATTCTCCTAATGTTTCAACTTCTTGGGTTTTCTGGTTCCTGAGTTAATAATTTTTACGCTAAAGCTCTTACGTGTTTATACGCAAGACCTAGGCAAGGTTGAAAGCTGAATTTAATTTTTCTGAGTCATACAGGGAATATTCTCCTAAAATTTAAGCCTCCTCGCTTTTATGTCCCGATTTATCAATCCTGCCACCAAAGCTTTTACTTGTTTGTACGTGAGACCTAGGCATACACGAGAATGAATTTGTACTTTGACAGAAGCATTATTCTGAAATTTCAGCTTTCACGGTCCCGGGTTATCAAATTTGGAGCCCAAGACGCTTCCCCACGTGAGATCCAAGTATGCAAAGGAACTGAACTTGAGTTTGTGGAGTCCTATACGAGCAAGGGGCGTTCTCCAAAATTTTTAGCTTCCTAGCTTTTCTGGTACTCGAGTTGTTAATTTCGGCGCCAAAACCTTCACGTGATCGTAACTGAAAGCCAAGCGCGCGCGAACGCTGAATTTGACTTTGCGAGATTATACGCTGGTAGGGGCCCTGCCCTAAAATTTCAGCTTCCAAGCTTCTCTGATTCCTGAGTTGGACTTGGAACACACACACACACACGTGAGTTCTGTGCAATTAAACGTGAGTTCTGTGTAAGCACAAAACGCATAAAAAGAAGGCATATACAGTATAGTAATTTATGCAGTTCATACTGTTTATG